GGAATAAATTTGTTTATATGTACCGAGGCATGTGCAAATATACACCACCAGTCAAAACAAAATACCTAGCTGTGGTCATTCTTCTAATCAGCATTTGAATCTCTCCTGAGTGGCTGCACAAGTGCACAGCTTTTAGGGAGCACTGGTACACATATACCTCTATCATGTCTCAAAGATTATAGTAAGTAACCATTTCTTGTATTTCAAACTGTACTTCAAAAACTAATTTTGACTAATAAAAATGGAGTTGCCCCTCTGTAAATCTCTATATAAAGAAGGAAAGAGCAAGCTGGAGAAATGTATGAATGCAGTTGTATGATGTGCATGGTAGAGGGCGGGCTTAGTAGCCCTGGGGTTCGTGTTTGTCTTATATTCCTGAAAGCTCATTTTTCAGGGTTTCAGCTGGGCACCTGTAGATGTCAGCCCCGTGTAGTCTGAGGGGAGAGGAGGAGAAAGGAGGTTAACTTTCCTCTGAAGCACCTGGGATACTGAAAAGGCATAACAAGCAGGGTTCCACAGGGGTCTGTTTTGGGAACAGTTCTGTTAAATATCTTTATCAGCAATTTAGATATTGGCATAGAGAGCATGCTTATTAAGTTTTCAGAAGATACTAAGCTAGGAGGGATTGCAACTGTTTTGGTGGATAGGGTCAAAATTCAAAATGATCTGGACAAACTGGAGAAATGGTCTGAGGTAAATAGGATGAAGCTTAATAAGGACAAATGCAAAGTGCTCCACTTAGGAAGGAACAATCAGTTTCACATATACAGAATGGGAAGTGACTATCTAGGAAGGAGAACTGCAGAAAGGGATCTAAGGGTCATAGTGGACCACAAGCTAAACATGTGTCAATAGTATGGCACTGTTGCAAAGAAGCAAACTTGATTCTGGGGTGCATTAACTGGATTGTTGAGAGCAAGACACGAGAAGTCATTCTTCCACTCTACTCTGCACTGATTAGACCTCAGTTGGAATATTGTGTCCAGTTCTGGGCACCACATTTCAAGAAGATGTGGAAAAATTGGAGGAGGTCCAGAGAAGAGCAACAAAAATGATTAAAG